CGGTCTACAATAGTGATTTAAGCTCTAAGCCTTAAGAAATTGACTAATCACAGTCGAGTATTCTCCTCATACTTGATCGTGATTGGTCAATTTCTTAAGGCTTAGAGCTTAAATCACTATTGTAGACCGACACTTACTGCTTTGCTGTTCAACAGGATGAACTTCAAACAACAAAAACTTGCGCCGGAAGTACGTCACCGATTCTAGTTACTTTCTAAACTGCTGCTGCTTTTCACTGCTCATTAAATGTTACCTTTAGTCTAGCTAGCTGGCTTGACTACATTACTACTGCTTATTATAAAAAAATGGCGGTGAGAAAACGGTGTCGTACACGTGTACTGCTACAAAAAGATATAACAAAGACGTTGAAGGTTAAGAACAAAATGCGACCTATAGATGCTAAAGCCGAAATTAAAAAGAATGTACTCATCGCGCAAGAAATTAAAATGGCGCGACTATTAGCTAATAATGACAAAAAAATAAGAGATAAAGTGTTAAAAAGATTGAAAAAGTGGTTAACAGTACGATCACAAAGTTCATTTGGTAAGTCACTCTGTTCGCATAATATTTTATTAAATTAAGATTACGTGATTTACATACAAATAGACTTAAATATAAATATTTTATATACATTTTGAAGCTTAATACTATTTTATACTATGCTATATTATAATCTTTACAGCTTTTACAAAAACAGACTTCATGAGCTTGTGGAAAGGTCTGTTTTATTGCATGTGGATGTCTGATAAAATGTTGGTTCAGGAAGAATTAGCTGAGTCACTTAGTAAACTTGTACATTGTTTTGATTCGAAGGATACTATTTTACTTTATACTAGTTGCGCTTTAAAAACACTTGCCATTGAATGGTTTGGCATAGATCAATATAGATTAGATAAATTTTTAATGGTACTTTTGTTATTTTTCTTATGCATCTAATACTTTAGGATATATACAAATAATCTCTCTATATATTTACTTCTATTGTTTTAGTTAATTAGAAGAATTCTTCGTCAAACATTTGTAACCTATAAAGATAAATCATGGGATATTAAATGGGTGACAGAATTGTCACAAATGTTTTTACAACTGTTCTTACATCCAAAAACTGGTTTGGGATTTAATTTGCACATGATAGAAATATATTTACAAGAACTTGCAAAGGTATTCCAAAAATTCAAATAATAAGATTTTCAGTTTCCAATTGTTTTATCTGAGCTTTAATAAAACATTGTTATTTACATAATTATACAGGTTAGCAATGGAAATATACCGGAATGTGTTGTCCATGAATTTATTAAACCATTTGTTATATATTTAATGACAACAGATGATGAACGACAAATGAAACATATCATACAACATGTTTTTAGATATTTAATATTTCAGTCGGATGTAGGTTTAGATTATATGGAGAAATTTGAAGCTTGGAAAAGGGTAAGTATAAAAAAATTATTCTAATGTTTAATATAACATTTTTCTAATACATAGTGTTTTCAAATCTTACAATGATCAATCGATCATTGTAAGATTTGAAAACATTATGGAGTGTTCTAATTCGGAAATTTATAGTAGTTATAGTATTTAAATTAAAAACCATTAAAATTTATGAATCACATTGCTAATATTTTACATATTTAAGCATAGCAAAATAGCTAATAGTGCTAAGAGTACTATTATGAACCAGCTTTATTGATTAGAGGTATTGTAGAAATAAGATTTTCAATAAAGAGTTTTTTTTGTTTATACTCAATACATTTGTACAATATACATAAATAATTTTAATATGATTTTTATCTTAGAATGTTCCAAGAAATTTATCATTAAAAAGATCTAGTAGTTTTTTAAGATATTC